TGGAAAGAGGTTGAGAAGTGAAAAGGATTTCTAGAGATGGAGACACGTAGAGCAGTGTGGCTTTGGAACCACACCATGGCTGACTCACTGTCTATGAGATTTCTCTTCCCCGAATCTCAATTTGCTCTTCTCTAAAGTGGGTTAACTACAATCCATCTCAAAAAGATGTGCTGAAAGTTAAATGCAGTTACGTTATGATGTTTTAAAATTGCCCAACACATAATAAGTGCTCAACAAATGGTACTTTCTTCCCTCTGCACCTCCTTGGGTTTATCTAGAAACAGCGGCTTTCAGGCTTTGTTTTTGTCTACAGATCTTCCTTCATATAAAGTCTTTCCTGGAAAGATTTGGAGCATACGGACAGGTGAGGCTGCTTCGTGTGAATCTGGTGGCAGGGGTAGGGGAGCACTGCCTGCCTGGCCCTCCCCTCTCCCCATCACAGGGGCATCCCCAGAGGACGCGTTCATCCAAGTATCTCTGTGTAACGAACACATTAATCAGCAGAAAAGTGCCTCTCTGCAGGTTACAATCCTGCCAGCTCCAGGTTCTGATTGCTTCTTCCTGAATCCTGCGTGGAATTTAGGCAGACGTGGAATTCAAACCAAGCAAGCAATAGCAAGAGCTGGAATTAAGAGTTTGATTTTTCTGGTTAAATGGGCAGAACATACCCGCATCTCAGCATGCTGCGTTTTGGTTGGCGATATTGTAGAAATAGAAGGGAAATGGGGCGATGACTCCTTAGGGTTGGCCAAATGGTTATTGCTTTTTATGAATATTGTCTGTCTGGTTTTTAGAATGTACAGGCACTTTGGAGTTACAATGTATATATTTAAGAACGCTATTAATATTTTTCATTTCTGAAACCTTTGTAGTTGGTACTTTTCAATGAATATCCATCGTCTAATTTGTTCTGGACATCCTTTTCATTTGTTTAACCCTTGAGCACTCTGTACAGGAAGTGGCCTGCCTGCAGGGATCTCTCAGTCTGGTGGAAGATTGCACTGTGTTGACAGGTCCACTAGAATTAGCACAGAACACATGTGGGATGGCAACAGGAGGGCTGTTGTCAGGTGTAAAGGATGTGATGATCTGAAGGCAGGTCATGACACTTAGCCGTGGTCTATGACTAGTTAATAACCAAGTTTATGAAAACCTCTGTCTTCTAGTTTTAATAATTTTCAAATAACTCA